GAGAACTCGAAAGAGCCCACATAGTTCTGGTTGAACGTAAAATAAAGATGCTGAAGTTCATCTGGGCAATCAGCTTATGAGCAAGGCTGGACACTTCTGTAAGAAGAATACCATAGTAACGAGGAGACTTGTTTTATCACACATCGAGAACATTATAAAACTATAATTATTGAATTTTCCGTTCCTAAGCAACTGATGCTGATGTAGATTTTCATCTGCCTTCATATATGTTTGCCTTTGTTGTGTTCTCCTCAGTTTTAATCCCTATTCTTTTGTTGCTATGGCCCAAATCTTTAGTTCAACGACCAAATTGCTGTTGCCTGATACTAGTTATGTTGCTACAATTGACAGAAACCCTGGACTTGAACTAGTTTTTTGTTTGTTTGTTTTTTACTTTGTGCTATGGCTTTTCCCATCTGCAAATAGGGCTAGTAATATGTACAACTTGTCCACTTCATAGAATGCATAAAAAGCCTGAAACAGGTTTGTCTCAAGAACGCAGGAAAATCCCCCTGAATCCATTCTCTGGATGAAAAAGGCCCCAAATATACCAATCTAAGTGTCATCCCATCTTTCTGAGCAATAACAGAACATTCCCAATAAACACAATGGAAATCTGAATTACAGAGAGTTTTGTTTATTGTCCAATTTTGTGGTATGGCATCATAACGCAGAGGCAACACCTGCTACATTAATTTAAAATAAAACGGAAGGTTAGACTCATAAGATATTCGCTATCCCAGAGTCCTGGTGAGAAATGATTAATTGCACACCAAGTATGCATTTATTGATAAGTTAAGTTAGAAGTGTGCACCTGTGGGTATTATCCTCAAACTCATATCACTAATAGGGCTGGCCTAACACCAAAATCACCTTTCTATAATATAACATGTCCTCTGAATAGACTTCCTGCCAGTTTAAAGCCTCCCCCTTAACCCTCACCTGCCAATAATCAATCTTCCCCTGAATAGAATGTCCTCGTAAACAGATGTGCTTGGCAGTGCATCCAGAAATTCTTGAAACTTCAGCTTTTAACTTTCATGTATAAGAAATGCATCCCAGAAAAGAGAGGCCCCTACAAATCATGTGCTCCTTTTTTTCCTCTCGAGAGCTTTATGCTGTTAAAAGAAAGGAAGCTGTTGTGCATATAGCAGATGAATAAAAGCATAGGGTACATAATTTTTTTTACTTGCGACACCTAGAAGCTTCACATGTGTTGTCTCATTCTTTTTCATATGACATCTATATTTAGTAAAAGAGACTTAAGAGATATACTCAATATCAAACAGCTTAAATTAGTTTTCAGCAGTTGAATTGATGCCCTAAGGAATAACTACAATGTGCCTTCTAAATGGAATCAGAGCCGAAAGGAACAGGCTTAAGAAAGCTCCACCAATGTATTAATTCATTTATTCCACATGGATTCGATAACTTCCTGTGTGTATTTCTGTCCTAGCGCAGAGAGGAATACAAAATAATATAGGACGCCTTTTTTGCTCTGAAGAAATATCTAATTTAGCTGTGAGGGGAAGACAAAAATACAAAAAAATTCTTAGTAATAATGAAAAGAATTTTGTGGTTAAGAATCAATTACTAGTACTAATTAAATAAAAGGGATCTCAACAGAGCCCCCTATTGGAGGAGCCGTATCCGAGCTGGGCAAGACTTTGCCCAACATCCATAAGCAGGTGAATTCGTGCAGTAATTCATCTCCATCTTTTTACAAAGTGCATGGGGATGACTTATTTACCCTCTGTTTCACTCCGTTTCCTCTCTGTAAAAATAGAGATGTGGTTATCACAAAGCGCTGTTATAAAGGTTAAATGAGATAATCAAAGTAAGATGCTTAACACAAAGCATAACATGTAATAAGTGCTCAAATAGCTACATTTTTTTTTCCAGGCAAAAAGAATCACTTGAGCTAGGGCTTGCTATTAAACTGAGTATGGCATTTTCAAATAAAGGCACAGTAATTTTGAATCAGAAGGTTGGCATAGATGCAATTTGGGAACACAATGAAGGAAGGCACTAAGTAAAGAGGAGAAAGGAGGAAAGGAAAGGAGGGAGAAAAGAGGAGTGATAGAGGACAAGAAGAGATGGAAGAAGAAACAGGAGGAAGAGGAGAGAGAGTGTGGTCCTTGGAGGCCTCTACTCTGCGCTTTTCTATTCTAAGCATGTCATGGCATAGTAAAATTAGGCCAGACTCTAGAGTGGCCTGGCACATCAAGTAGAGAGGCTGGACTTTAAACAGGTGCCTTCGTAAGTTTAAACAGTAGGATTTTCAGGAATGAGGAGAGAGAGAGAAAAGAGAGGAAAGGAGAGGACAATTGGGAGGGTACCAAAAATCCAAATCAGTTAGGGAAAAAAAAAAACGTTACCTTGTCCCATTGATGACATTGAGAATGAGGAAAGGATGAATGTAAGAAACATTATGAAGAAATAACAATACCAACAGCTTGGTGATTTGTCAAATAAAAGACAAAAGGAAGAATTGACAAAGATGACACCAAAGTATCCAGCCCAGGAAACAGAAGAATGGTGACCCCACCTAAGGAACGCTGGGAGTGGAATTTCATTTTGCAACACCATAATTTTCCAAAGTGACAATAGTCATTATGGAACAAATGTTCATCTGTCATCTGTAAATTAATAGCTATGCTTGGGATAAGTTTATAATGCAAACATGGTAAATATATGTGTATGTGAATGTTTGACATTATAATTTAAACAGATAAAAATCTAATTTTCTGATCATCGATAGAGATAAGATAGAATACAAACTGTGATTTTTTTTTATGACATCATCCTCCTTAGATAAAAAAAATGTTTTCTCAGATTACAAAAAACGGTTGGCCAAATAACAATCCTGGTGTTTTCAAACTTTGGGGAAGTAATGAATTTTCAAGTCATAACAACAGACTACTTCTGCAAAACACATATAATTCTCTTTCTTTCAACTAAGAAAATGGTGGTGGTGGAGAGGGACATATAATTTAAAGAGAGTCTAGAGGGAAGAAGAGACGAAATATTTAACTTGCTTCTGTTCATAAACATTGAGCCTCCATTTTGGAAGAGATGGGTGACATCCATTTGCAATGTATGAATGACAGTTTACAAGTGATACAGACATTCCCCTTTTCACTCACTACGAAGACAAAAGATTCTTTTTTTTTTTAAGGATTTTTATTGGGGAATTGGGAAAGGGGAACAGCCAAGTTGTTGTCCTTCAGTCTTAGTTGTGGAGAGCGCAGCTAGCTCAGCTTTCAAGTCCAGTCGCCAACCGGACACCCATTGGCAGCTCTGGCAACCTTGTTGCTAAGAGCGCACGTTCTAACCACTGAGCCATCCAGCCCCTGTTGGCAGCTCAGGGCAGCTCAGCTCAAGCTGCCGTGTTCAATCTTAGTTTCAGATGAGTGTAGCCCACCATCCCAGGTGGGAGTCAAACCAGCAACCTTGTTAGGAGCACAGGGCATTCACCAGCTGAGCCATCCTGCCACCTGTTGGCAGCTCAGCGGCAGCTCAGCTCAGGTGCAGCTCGCTGGCCCATGTGGGAATCGAACTGGCAGCCCTGTTGCTCAGAGCTCACGCTCTTAACCAACTGAACCACTCAGCCAGCCCCCAACGATTCTTAATTTTAAGGTGTATGAAAGGTTTTCCCCACCCTGCTTTTTTTTCTATCCCTTCCTGGTTTGCCTTATTTTATTTGTTTTAGCCACCCTTCGTGTGAAGATCCTCTTCAAAATAGGACAGCCATTCCTCAGCCACATCCTTATACTGAATCAGTGACTAGCTTTCAGGATTAGGTATAATTTTATTCCAAGTCCAAGATGGTACGAGTATTTGCCATTTCAAACTCTTGCACTAGATGTTGAAAGGCAGCACGATTGAAAGAATACACTGCTTGAGTCAGCAAGATGTGGAATTAAACTGTAGTCCTATTTCTAGAAATTTGTGGGTTCCTCAAAAGAGACTTGGGTTCCATTCAAGTTTTTAATGAAGACTTTGGCCTGATTTATTTTACTGAGTTTTCTGAACCGTGTTCAATGGGAGACATGCCAGCCTACGCATCAGTACCTGTAATCTATTTCTCATTCAGGGTTGCCACACGTGAGGGTAGAATTGGCATGAGCCAGTTTATATTTGGAAGCTATTAATGGCTAAGGACTGAATTGATCATCCTTGAGATAGCAAGTTTAGGGAACCAAGGGGAAACAATATACTACACAAGCACACCATAGTTAAATCACTGAACGTCATTTGCAGCGAGCACAAAAGTTGGGCTTAGCTGCCCAGCTTAATACTAGAGCAGATCTCTTCATCTGGTGCCCACTTAGGTCAACGGGCTGATGTGCCCACGTGGAGATTAGGGTGTGGGACATGAGTTGATGTCCCTAAACTTCGTAATTTCAGGTTATCTAAATTCAGATTTCAATTCAGGATTCTACTCCCACATGCTAAGCTTCTAGACCCATCTCAGAGGTACTTCTTGAATTGGAGAAGTGTTATCCTTGTTAAACAAAAAGAAAGGAAGGAAGGAAGGAAAGAAGGAAGAAAGGAAGGAAAGAAGGGAAGAAGGAAGGGAAGAAGGAAGAAAGAAAGATAAAGAGAGAAAGAAAGAAAGAAAAATATAAGTGGAGGGAGAAGAAGAGGGAAAAAAAGAATATCAGTGTAGTCAAACTATGTTCTGTCAGGGACGGCCGGTTAGCTCAAGTGGTTAGAGTGCAGTGCTCATAACACCAAGGTTGCGGGTTCAATCCCCACATGGGCCAGTGAGCTGCACCCTCCACAACTAGACTGAAACAACTACTTGACTTGGAGCTGATGGGTCCTGGAAAAACGCTCTGTTCCCCAATAAAAAATATATATATATATATGTTCTGTTGGAGACACGTTTTTGACACAAACATAGGAACAAAAAAAGAGAAACATGAAAGAAAATAAGCTATATGCTTCATGTGTAGTGACTGTTATTCTCATTAGCCATTTTCTTCCCAAAACAGCTGTCCATTGATCTACCATTCTGATCAACCACTAGTCTGACTGTCTCAGAAGCGGAATTGGAGGTGTTGTTACAATCACTTCTGCCACTGCCCTTGGGAAGCTTAGGATAGCCACTGGACTGCCTCATTGACTTCAGGTAAATCGTATTTCATGCTGGGTAAATAAATAATAAATTCAAATGTTACTAACAATGAGATAAAATTTGCTGAATAATGAGAGTCACGTTAAAGTTAGGAAAAAGCGGCAGGATGGTACAGTGGAAAAACACTGAAAACCTGGTTTTGAGAACTTGGTTACCATTAGTAGTGTGATACTGGCAAATTAGTTCATCTTTCGGGAGCATGCCACCCACAACCTTTGTCTTTATTTTGCCGTTCCCTCCATCCAGATTACATTATTCTCCTCTACTTGCAAACTCTGCTCTTCCCTTGAGACAAGCCTAAATAAGTAAAACATTGTCCCTTGAAACTAAAAAGCATGGTGGGGAGAAAGACTTTAATCCAGGCCTGCATCACCTCATGCTTCTAAATTGAGCTTTATACTTTATCTCTTTCGTACATACCACTGTTCATCTTATCTCCCTTAACACTGTTGCATCCTGTCATGCCATTACTCTAAAACGGCCACCTCCCAATGTCCTGCAGCATCCAGTCTAATTAAAACACCAGTATTTAAGAACCTGCATAATCTTTTCCACCGTCACCCCTTTCTGCCCTTTCCTAAGCTGGTCCAGCATTTCCCAAATTGGCGTCACTCAACTTCTGCTAAGCTTTGCTCATACTGTTTTCTTGGCTGGGCTGTCCTCCCATCATGGTTCTGAGTGTCCAAATCTCACTGACCTTTAAAAAACAAATTACCATCATTACCTCCATGGAACTTCCTTTTCCTGACTATTCCAACCAGCCAATAATTTCCTTCTCATAGGTGTTCTCTTAGCACGTAAAATCTTGTCATATAATTTTAGCTCTTAATTAGGCATAATTTCGCATTTATTGCTATTCTTCATAGATTTTTTAAAAAGCTTCATCTGTTAACATTTTATGTATGTATTTATTTATTTATTTTAAATGTATATACATTTTTAAATTTCATTTTATTGGGGAACAGCCATGGTCATTGGTGACACATTGCTCTCATGTTATAATGGCATAGCTGACTCTTCTCGGGAGGGCACAGCCCACAGTGGCCCATGCGGGGATCGAACCGGCAACCTTGGTGTTATCATCACCACGCTCCAACCAACTGAGCTTACTGGTCACCCCATGTTAACATTTTTATCTTCATAGATCTTTAAGGGCAACTGTGATAGAAAATTGCATTTCAGTCATTGAGAAATTTTAGGAAACTATAGCAGCAAATCCACGGCTACCCCAGGCAATTCTTTTGACGATGTGGAAGACGCTATCTCATGCACCAGTTCTCTGGCTTAAATTTTTTCCCATCTTCTGTCCACATCACTGTCCAGGGCTGAATTTGAGCCAGCTGGATTCCATCAGATTCAAAAAGACAATAAACTAAGTAGAATTCCCATCTTTCTTGATCAGTTGTGAAATAGTATAGCTGTGTGTCACTCACATACCAGCCACTCAGGATTTTGTTATCAACTGATTTCTCTTGAGAGTTGAACAGAGGAGATTGTGATGATTCTGCTTTTAAAGACCTGTAAAAGTTATGGCTAGACCAGAATTTCAGAGATAATGCCAAATACACAGACCTATCCCACCTGAAGGAATATATTCACTATCTACAGCAAAAATTAAAATGCCTTGTAAACTCCATACTAAATTATATTGGGTTTTTGTTTTTTGGTTTTTTTAATGGTGAGATTTGATTATAAAAATTCTTTGACTAGGAGTTGCATTCTCATTTGTAGGACAATTAGCCAGTGAGTGAGAGGCTTTAAATGATTTAGAAGAAAGAGGAAATTATTACAAATCTACTGGATCCTACTTTGTATAGTTTTCTTAAGTAATTTAGAGTTAGGAATGATTTTCCAGAAAAGGCATATAAGACACAATAGAAACACAGAATGTTAGAGGTGTGCCTTAGAAATCATCTGAGTAAAATCCTTCATTTTACATCTGAGGACACTGAGGCCTGGAGATGTTTAAAGACCTGCCTAAAATCACAAAATTCATTCTTACCAGAGAGAGTTCTACATGTTAGACTTTATTAAAAAAAAAAAAAAGTACAAGTCAGTTGAAACTCTAGCAGGACTGAAGGGAGTTCATGTGTCAATTGTACTTGAAGACCTAACAAGAACATGAAGGTATGAACCCAGCTGTCCTTGTGACCATGGACTTGGCTTGCTGAGTGCTAGGATGAATAATCAGGTGCTATAGAGAATTCTTGGGACTGGAACAAATGCCTGAAAAAGCATTTATTGTTCATATGGATTCCTTGCAGAAAATCCATTTTAACAGAAATACCCAAATGCTGTTTCCCTGGATGATGTGAAAGTATGTAGCTTTATTTAGAGAACCTTCTTTGTGAAGGCATTTTGTTTTTTAAACCATGCCAAAAGAACACTACCCAGAAATATGATGATAATATTCATCACTACTCCTACGGCATTTCTGCACACCGGAAAACTGAATCTAAGGGGACAAGCTAAAGTCTAAAGAGCTAGAGAAGGGGGTAAGCAACGTTAGAACTCACGTCTTCTAATTCCCTTCACTGCTCCATGCGTCAGGTGATTCAAAATATATCACATTTTCTCAATATTTGGGGAACCTCTTACGTTAGAACACCTCAGCTCTTCCTTAGTAATATCACCTCCTTGAGAAATATTTGAAATACCTCAAGTACTGGAATTTTCCCAAGAGAAGGATAAGATCAATCTTCTTTACAGCTTAATAAATTACAGGAGTGTATATGCTATTATATAGCTATACAATGGATGTTTAAAACTGATTTATTTGTAAAGGAAGGAAAATAAATCATACCAGATTATAAATGTATTTACTAGCCATTAACATACAGTTTTCATTTTGCACTATAAAGAATAATAATTCAATAATTCAAAATAAAAGATAAATTTACTACTTAAGTGTGATTTTTCTTTTCTTTTTTTTTTTTTAATTGAGGAACAGTGTGTTTTTCCAGGACCCATTAGCTCCAAGTCAAGTAGTTTTCTTCAATCTAGTTGTTGGCCCATGTGGGGATCGAACCGGCAACCTTGGTGTTATGAGCCTGCGCTCTAACCACCTGAGCTAACCAGCCCCCACTTAAGTGTGGTGTTGACGTTTTGAAAAATAGTTTTGTTTTTAAAACATGTTCTAGATTTCCTTTTTTGTTGTTGTATTGAAATGAAGCCATTATGATTGTCAGAGCAATGAAATAAATATGTCACAGGGAAAACAGGATTTTCACTCAAATTTTTAAGTTATTGGTTGTATTTCAATCCACTGGAGGATGTGATTGCAAATCTGGTTAGAATTAGAAAGAAATCAGGCTTACCAGTATTACATCTTCCGATGAAGGGGGAGGATTCTGTTGAGAAAGTGAAGATAATGTGGCAGAATTATTATCTGTTTGTCATATAGCTAAACTTTATTACAGTGAACGCTGCAAAGGGATTCTATGAAAGGTTACTTCTTTGGTCCATGCGAACACTTGGTTCATACTATTTTCAATTAAGCCTATGTACTGAACACTTTGTAAAACATGCTTTCCTGTTTCCTATATGTATCTCGGTTGTTGTCTATGATGAAAATACAGCAGGGAATTTTCACTATGCAAAGGGAGGCCCAGAAGAAATAAAGCAGAGCTCTGAACTGAATTCCTCACAGCTCTCTTGTTCGACCATTGAGCAGCAGTGGCCCTTGAGTTTCTATGACCTTTTCTCAAACATGCTCAAAACCTCCTCCCAAAATACCACATAAAACGGCAAACAAAGTAAAAAGCAGCACAAAAAATGATGCAAGTTTTGCAGGAAGAATATAAGTCACAAAGAATGACGTGTAGTATGAGAGCATCTTTCTTGTTTTTCTCACTCATCACAGGGACCCTTAAGTAGCTCTAATGTTGCTATGCACAGACAATGCGTTTTCTTAGTTTGTACTCTACTATAACCTGTAAGTCCTCTGAAGTTTTATGTAATTTGACTTATCCTAGTTTATGAAATACACGTCCTTTAATTTTATATAACAATCTATACCTACCAAATGTGTTTTCACACATTTCACTTGGCCTTGATAATCCTGTGGAGCATGTCACCCAACTAAATATTTGTGCACCTTTTAAAGGATAAGAAAAAGCAACATTCTTAGGTCATAGACACTGAAAAATATTTAGGGATATAAGGCCATAATGAATCTGAGTAAATGGTATACAAGTAGTATTTTTTTTTCTATTATTCTTGCAACTTTTCTATATTTAGCTCAACTCTCCAAACCTCAGGGTATTTTTTTGGTATTTTCAAATACAAAATTTTTTTAAAAGATGGAGATATACCAGGGTGTTTAAATAATTTGCATATGCTAATAGAGCTGATTAGAGGCAAAGTGAAGATTCAAAATACAGGTCTCCTATTCTCCACATTTCCTCCAAAGCTGTAATCCATTTCTGTATAGACTGACAAGTAATTTCCACTTTAAAGTATTCATAAACCACAGTCACACCTTCTGCTAATCAGTCATCAGTAATCAGCACCATAGCCCAGGGAAAACTTGATTATTATCTAACTATAACTTTTATTTCTATGTCATATTACCTATTGCAAATCAATGTTACAACCCTATTTTATTTGATCCTCAGCATGCTTTAAACGAAGTCGATAGTGCAGGCTTTATTATTGAACCCACACTACAAATTTAAAAACAGCCTGTGAAGATCACTTGTATTATTATTGTTCATAGCTACCAAATGGCAGACCCATATTCTGTAGATAAACATTCAAATCCTAAAATTGCAGCACCAGCACTCTTTCCAACAGATCCTCCTGACTTTCCAATGCCTTTTTTTTTTTCTTGTTAGTAAAGTTACATAGGTTTCAGGTGTACAATTCTGTAATGCATCATCTATATATCACATTGTGTGCTCACCACCCAGAGTCAGTTCTCCTTCCATCACCATATATTTGACCCCTTTACCCTCATCTACCACCCTCCTCTCCCCTGACCCTCTGGTAACCAC